TTACGAACCACCCCGCCCCCTCCCAATACACACAGATTCGTCAATTTGCATCATTGTTTTGTTCTAACTTGCTGTGAAGTACACAGATGAATGGGTTATAGACGTACCGGATGTTCATAATAGTGTCTTTTTCGGATTTAGGACAATTTTCGTAAAAACAAAAAAGAAAAAAAGAAATAGCCTAGCCTACATAGTCATGACAAAGATTCTTTGGGCATGTGACAATGCCACTCCCACAATTGACCTACTTTCTACTAAGACCTGGCTGTAAAGCAATCGACATGTTATCAGCTTGACCACTTACATGAACCAGGCCATAACAAGAGCATTAAATTTACAACCATATTGTGTGGACTAATGTGGCACGGCCGGCCTTCACATTGCAAACCCCCACGAGACCAATAGTACCCACAGAATCCGAAAGTAGACAAAGCATGTGAGAATATGTTTTAAAATCCTTTATCAACACCGTTGGTTGTTAAAACAGATGGGCCTCTAATTTTGCGGCCATCCCCAATATGAGGGCACAAAATGAGTGTAGAGCCGTGAAAACTTCTTAAGCAAAGAATGTTCACTAAGGTTGGGCATGGATAAGACATACTCCTTTGTCCATATTATTACTGCCAAATCCGCTAATACGACGAAAAAAAAGGTGTTAAAGGGCTTGCTTCAGAAGTTGATTTGAAAAGCTTGGCAAACGAAAGGGAAAACATCACCAGGAAATAAACACAACGCTCTGGAAACCTGATAACTTTATATCAACATAGCCCTAAAAGGCTTTTTAAATCAGGGATACAATAATTAGTCAAAACCTCTTTTATCATAATGAAGTGTAACAACAATATCAAACAGCAAACACTACTCGCTTTCGCGCACGCTAACAGCGTTCTTGGATAATGATCATCACTATTGTGAGTGAACACTTTTCATTGAGAATTTCAGTGACGTGGAATTTTTCATCGCCGACGCATCTGTCCTTATGTCCAACTCCATGGTGACAGTTGCTGAGTAAATCTGCCGTCACCAGCATGGCAGGTTCAAGAGTTTTTGGCTTTCAATGTGTAAACGCGGGACTGCCTATGGGTTCTTACTCATTGAATTTGAACGGTTTAGAGGGCTGCCTATCCTTACCTTTTAACGCGAAGTGCGAAGATGCACGTCCTGTACATTTACCTGAATGATAAGTGCATGTCCGCCTGCATTCCCATGCAGGTCCCCAGCGTCTACAGAAGCTACACGATGCTATGTAGTGAAACTAGGGGGTTACAAAAAAAAGTATGTATTGTACAATCAATGTTTACCAAAATTATGTAAGATTGTTTTCTTTTTTTTTAGGAGAGGCAAAAAGAAAGAAAGCCGAAATAAAAGTAAGTCACTATTAACTGCTGGGACGTTCGAAAGCGGGAAATAAGATACCTATAATTTCAATTTTCGACTTTTGTCCATCAGTCTGTTTTTAAAAGCAAGTGAACATTTCCTGATCGGACCAGCGTCTTTAGGGTAAAGATTAATCACCTCACCGTTGCGTGCATTAGACGAGGGTTCCATTTCATTTTGAAAGCTTTTTTTTTTTCGAGTGTCTCGTAGTTTTATTGGCAGATTGTTGCATCCCACTCAACTAGGATCGATAGGCCCTGGGCCCTGACCTTGTGGGTCGAAGCAGCTGGCTTCCGATGTGAATTAACGTGTTGATGAGGGCGGAAAAAATTATAAACACAACCATAAGCCAGCAGGGTCCACGCAAAAGAGAATGAAAACAGTTTCTTAATTACTGTTAATCCCTTTGAAACCAACTCTTTCTTTTTTGCAGAAACTACGCCTGGAAACTTCTGGTCCGTCCAGTAAGATAATATACAACGAACACTATTTTATGAGCTTTCTATTTTATGAGGCTTTAGAGTACACTTCCTGCACAGGAGTAAACAGAAGAGAGAAGGAAAGGGATACCTGAACAGTTATTTACAGTCGTTTGTTATCAGTAGCAAGACGTGATCGTATGAGTCACAGAAGTGTACTATTTATGAGATGTGACTGAAAGTGCAGACGCATATAGGGTGTACTGTGAACTTGCGAGGAGCCCTTATTGTCTGTAAATTCATACAAAGAAAAACCCCAGTGGGAATTGTTAATACTAAACATCGCTCCATGACACAACCAGTGGTTTGCTGGCCTAGGGTGGGATCGTATCCAGAACAACCATTAACGAAACTTTCTGGGGAAAAAAATCGAGCTCACCAACAATAATCTCATTAGCCTCTAGCATTCCTGTTTACCACTGAGTTTGATGTAGACTTCAAGTTACATTCTAAATTTTCCTCCCACGTCTGTGAGAAAGTAGGCCTACGCCCAAACTTTTACTGAATTAAATCTGTTGAGTTTTACCGATCGAACTACAAGTATCTGCCATCGATGTGCCTTTTTTTTTTCTTTCGTTAACC